TATATATATATATATATATATATATATATATATATATATATATATATATATATATATATATATATATATATATATATATATATATATAATATATATATAATGTACAATGAGGCTAGTGATTACATTAATATATGACAGTACTGCAATTCCCAACTCAACCATTAGGATCTCCCACTATGCACCTGAGGTGGTGGTTTTCCTCCTCGTAATCCCCATTAGTTATAGGTAACGGAACACGTTAGGGGCGTCACCGTCGCTATCAGATTAGCACAATAGCCATTTTGATTTTGAATAACAATATTAAATCTTTATTAACAATAACAGTATTTAATAAAGGTTTTCTATATTTATGATAACAATTAGATAACATTGGCTATTTAAACCAAATGTGTTCTTGACGCAAGCGTTAGAGACACACTGCCCGTCTTCACATTCCAGGTCTGATAACTACTGTTGAAATGGCAAACCATTTATTACCAAGTATAAAATATCGGAAATCATTTCACTGAATCCATATTTCGCTTCCAGCAGATAAATGACATATGAGATTAAGAAGCAAGTTGTGTATTATGAAGAATAATAATTACAAACAACAGTGTTCCAATGGCCCTGTAATAGCTCTATAGATCAGATAATTATGCACTAGTGAAAAGACCTATTATTGTATAATGATTAACTGTAAAACACTGCTATTGATATATAATAATCTCTTACTAGCTGACAGTATAATTATAAGGTGTGCAGGATAGATGCGATTGTCAGTGTAGAAATCTCCGTTGGAGTCTGATAAAGATATTTTGAGCCTTCTGTAATCCATTTTTTCCTATATATCGCTCACAGGATGAGAATGAGGTGCACAATAAACTAGCCGCCTCTGGAGGCAATAATGGATGAAAAGGCTTCCTTTGAAATAATTCATGGCTTACTGCTGCCTTGCTTCCACAAAGGATTATAAGAGTAAGGATTTTGTACGTATAATAAATTATCATTCATTATGAATCATCAGTGAATTATCATTCACATAATGACCTTATTTTAGTCTTTTCATGATACATATTATCATCATTATAAATAATCACAATTTAGTGTTCAAGAAAATTTAGGAACATTATCCGCCATGAAATAGAAGACAAAAAATTAATTTTGCGACAGGCAAGGTTAATTGATCACATCAGAATTAATTGATTAATATGAAGGTTAATTGATCACATCAGAGTTCGGTTACTCTTAGGAACAGTCACCTTCATCACCTTAAAGTGACTTCGATATCGAGAAGAACTGTGCTACCCAAACTATCTCTGTGTACAAGGTAGTGTAGTCTTCTTCTTGGCGTTCATGATGATGCAGTGCTCTGCTTCCTTGTAGTCATGGTGATGCACCGTTTCTCTGGTTCTTTATAGACATGGTAATGCTTGGTTGTCTTAACGTTTACCGTCATCAGTGGACGACGTCAGGCCGACGTTACAGCGACCAAAAGAGATCACTGGGTGCAACATTCTTCTGCTTTTTTTGTGTACTTGGTGCAGTGTTCTACAGTGTGTTTTGAGTTCATTATTAATATAATACAGATGAAATATGAGCCACACAATCAGGTTAAGCACCTTCCGGCATATCTAGTAACTGTATAAAGTTCATAAGTACACAGTCGCCCTTAGCGAGCCTTCGATAAACCGAACAAGTTTGTTGTATCGGAATATAGGTAATGATAGATTCCAGTAGCCTCTTGCTAGCTAGCTGACTGATGTCTAGGACAGATCTTGTGGAACTGACCCATTAATCCTCTGCTCCCAGTAAACACAATGTTTTCTGACGTTTTTATTTGGTAGCAGGAAGATGATACTGTAACTATTTATATAAAGTCGTCCTTTTAACATATAGAATACAACGACTTCAGTCAATTAAATTGTATAATTTTTTAGTAAACGTACAAAGGACGTTTTAATGCGTTTCTAATTCAAATCAGAAAAATTCTTCGTGTGTGTGTGTGTGTGTGTGTGTGTGTGTGTGTGTGTGTGTGTGTGTGTGTGTGTGTGTGTGTGTGTGTGTGTGTGTGTGTGTGTATTCACCTAGTTGTGCTTGCGGGGGTTGAGCGCTGGCTCTTTCGGCCTGCCACTCAACTGTCAATCAATAAACAATTCCTCCCCTCCCCCCCCCCCTCACAGAAAGCAGCCTGTAGCAGCTAACTCCCAGGTACCTATTTTCTACTAGGAAAACCAGGCGCATCAGGGTGAAAGAAACTATGCCTATTTGTTTCCGCCATCGCCGGGGATAGATCCCCAGACCCTAGGATTACGAATCCTGATCACTTCCACTCAGCCACCAGGTATGAGTGTGTGTTTGGTGTTTGCTCTTTGTCTCTGTGTCCCTAAGCCTTCTCTCCCTGTCTCTGTTTACATCTGTCTATTTATCTCTGTCTCAGCTTCCCTCCATCTCACTCTGTCTCTGTTTCTCTTCTCTCTCTCCATCTCTATCTGAGTTTGTATATGAATCCTTTAATCTTTGTCAATGTCTGTCTGTTTCAAATGCAATAAAGATAATTATACCTAATATTTGCAATAGATAATAATTACAATTAACGTTTTAAGATTCTTTGCTCTAAAACGTTATATCATAACATTTAAAACACGTTTTATTAAAACATTATGACCGACGTTTTATTATCGTTTCTACAAATTCTCAAAAGCACTTGTATAAAATGTAATTTAAAACATGACCAATTTTGGTGGGCTACCACCTCTTATATAATGTTTATTATACTTATAAAGTTATACTTTGGATAACTTTTATAACTTTTTGCTAAAGTTATGGATAACTTTTGTAACTTTTGCAAAACTCATTTTAATAACTTTGCAATTAATTTCGACAAAAACTGAGCCTTATATGGTGTTTATTATTTGATTTTGCATATTATTTCCAGTGGACACTATATTAACAGAAAATTAGGAAAATTTACTAATTTTTGGAATATATTCTCATTTAGTTTATTACGACAATGCTGAAATTCACTTTTTGTGGTTCATATAATTATGCAGCATGTGTACACAACATGTGCATATCACATAGGAAGCACATTCTGTGCATACGCACACTCAGTATTTACGTAACATGTGCTAAACAAGTATACAGCATGTACGCAGCATGGGCACTTAACATACACTGCATGTTCACAATATGCAGCAAACAGCATGTAAGCAGCTTCCATTGGATATACTGCATATATATATAGCAAATGCCTAGGGTAAGCGTAGCGTGTATGCAATCCACAGTATAGCGTCCTTTCCATCACATGTAGATATGATATCTACACAAATGTAGTTATGATATGATATGATATACGACTATCCATAAAATTTTTTTAGATATGATAGAGCGTAATAGGCTTAGGAACCTGTACATTGGTTGATTGACACATGAGAGGCAGGACCAAAGAGCCAAGGCTCAACTTCTACAAGCACAACTAGGTAAGTACATCTAGGCAACATGCAATCAACCAAGTCCTTCAAAATCTCTACAACTCTTGGCTGTAGCCTATACCATACTAATTTAAAGAAACCATCTTGTAGGGCTGTTCATCTTAATTTAGCTTGATGTAATTTTGTTTAATTGTTTTCAATTTTAGAAAAAATAATGACAAAATTACGTTAAACAAACATCGTATGTCATCCACTTTTTTTTTTAAATTTGAAAACAAAAAATCATCAGTTGGTGTTATACTGGAATGTGAACACGACGAAACACTTATTTTTTACTCGAAAATTGTCAAAACCATCGTTTAGCACTTGATAAATTATTCTTAGTTCAATAACTTTTTTAGTGAACAATCTTTAGAAAAATATATCTAATATACAGTAATATACAATTAAAAATAATTGCTGCAAGTCTATTGATACCTTAATAATATTGCTGAGACCCCTAATGTGTTCTTTATATATAATTTATAAACTATATACACAAACTCACTGTATCAACTGCTTATTGATCAGTCCCCCCCACATACCACTTTAGGAATACCGTTCTTTCTCAAGCCAAGGAAGAGACTATTTAGAGAAAACGGACTTGATTTCTCCTTATTAATGGGTATATATAAGACAGTTTACAAACCATACTTCGTAATATATTTTTGGTATTTGTTAATATGTTAATTTGCGTTGTTGCTGCCTATAACACATTTTTTAACTTCCTATTAATATATCTAGGTATAATTTACCAGTGGATACATCTGTTGTATTGTAAATCGCCTTAAACATAGAAATGTATTATATTTATTTAACCCTGAATCTGCAATTTAGATTTTGATTAAGCATTTGAATAGATTTATGGTCCATGCCCAATCAAAGTTTTTATTTAAATGAGCTATGATTATGTTTTCAGTAACAATCTGATACCTAAACCTTGTGTAGTGACTTTAGTTCTCCCCTCAAAGCAGCGGGGTAAAAAAATACGGGAGATGAGATCAGAGAGACCAATCATGTGCCCTTGACGCAACTAGCAAGTAAACAAGAAGGCTGCTGCTCTGTTCTCTCCATGGGGGTTGCACATAAATCGAATATATAACTGGAGAGTTACAATGGTTACACCCTTTTCTGATGGATATGTGAGATACTAAACTTGTCTAACGATCGTTAAGGAGTCCTCATTTAACGAGCCATTTAGGGACCACGCTTTTCTAGTGCCCGCTGGCAACATGCAGAAAATGTTCTATGTTATTTTGTTAATAATACTGTTTATATGTTATATTACCATAGATTAAGTTCATCACTATGTAGAAGTGGACAGGTGCTGGAATCATAGAAACGTCCGAAATAAATAAATATATATATATATATATATATATATATATATATATATATATATATATATATATATATATATATATATATATATATATATATATATATATATATATATATATATATATATATATATATATATATATATATATATATATATATATATATATATATATATATATATATATATATATATATATATATATATATATATATATATATTCCGTTAGTATATTCAACACGAAATCATTTTATATCACATAGTTTCTTCCCAGCATGACAACATACATCAATGCAGCCTCGGTCAACGACGTCCATCGAAGGTTTACTAAAAATCACCTCTACCCTATAAACTATAAAGTGATTTACCCAATCACTTTCTCGTGCTCCAGAGAAGACCAGGCACACCACCACCTATTCCAACACAACAACAAGACAACCATTTACTAAAGGCACTGTCATTATCACCTCCTTCAAGAACCGTAGCCGTCCCTTTCTTTTAGGAATCACGATTTCCTCCTCACTGGAACGTCACCACCCACTCCTGTAAGGGCCGTCACCACCGACTCCTGTAAGGGCCGTCACCTCCCACTCCTGTAAGGACCGTCACCACCCACTCCTGTAAGGGCCGTCACCACCGACTCCTGTAAGGGCCGTCACCTCCCACTCCTGTAAGGGCCGTCACCACCCACTCCTGTAAGGGCCGTCACCACCCACTCCTGTAAGGATTGTCACCACCCACTCATATAAGGACCGTCACTACCCACTCCTATAAGGGCCGTCACCACCCACTCCTATAAGGACTGTCACCACCCACTCCTATAAGGACTGTCACCACCGACTCCTATAAGGACTGTCACCACCGACTCCTATAAGGACCATCACCTTATAACTCCTCTATAACTCCTCCAGCCATCATGTCACCACCTACCTCTATAACTCTTGCAGCCATCATGTCACCACCGGCCTCTATAATTCCTACAGCCATCATTTCACCACCTGCCTCTATAACTTCTACAGCCATCATGTTACCACCTGCCTCTATAACTCCTGTGTCCAGCATGTCACCGCCCCACCTCTTATAACACCAGCCACTATGGCATCACTTGCCTCTATAACCCCACCATCCACCATTTCACCACCTGCCACTATAACTCCTCCAGCCATCATGTAACCATCGGCCTCTATAACTTCTCCAGCCATCACGTCACTACCTGCCTCTAACTTCTACAGCCATCATTTCACCACCTTCCTCTATAACTCCTGTAGCTGGCATGTCACCACCCCACCTCAGTAACACCAGCCATCATGTCAACACATGCCTATATAACCCCGCTATCCATTTCCCTACCTGCCTCTATAACTTCTCCAGCCATCATGTAACTATCTGCCTCTATAACTTCTCCAGCCATCACGTCACCAGCTGCCTCTAACTCCTCGAACCATTATGTCACCACCTTCCTCTATAACTCTTCCAGCCATCATGTCACCATCGGCCTCTATGACCCCACCAGCCATCATCTCATCACCTGCCTTCATAACTCCTGCAGCTCTCATATCTCCACTTGCCTCTATAACTCCTGCAGCTATCATCTCACAACCTGTCTCTATAACTCCTCTATCGATCACGTCTCCATCTGCCTCTAACTCTTCCAGCCATCACGTCACCTTCGGCCTCTATAACCTCTCCAGCAATCATGTCACCACCTGCCTCTATAACCTCTCCAGCCATCATGTCACCACGGACCTCTATAACTCCTCCAGCTATTATGTCAACACTTGCCTCAATAACTCCTCCAGCATTTCACCACCGGCCTCTATAACTCCTTGAATCATCATGTCACCACTGGCCTCTATAACTCCTTCAACCAACAAGATCAGGTAATAACACTTGAACCTCCAATATTGAGACACTCTAGATCAAAATGCTGTTGAGAAAAATCCTTCTTAACATTGAGATGGCCTTTGACAAGGCGCTGGCTTCCTCCCCTTCGAGGCCACTAGAGTGATATCGACCCTCATATAAATTCACGTATCACAATCCTCTAAAACAAATCTTTTTATGACATTAATCCCATGAGAACAGAGCAGACTCCATGTATGTTACACCTTGCGACGACCTCTTCTCCAAATATAGATATTCCTGAACGGTGCTTGGCAACAAAGCCTGCTGGCTTTGTTGACTATTTTTTCATACTTTCCGTAATTGCTATTAAATATTGTCAATTGTGTTTTTTATTCGTGCTCTCTGTAATGATCCATTTAATTTGACTTATTTGTGTAATGAACCTATGTCTGTTCACATATCTGTAACAACTGTTGTGTAATTTATCTATCTTTACCTAAGGTTTGTTTAATATTTATTCTCAAATGGTTACCACAGTATACCAATTCTCACCCGTAACATACCCACTCTTGAAGCTACCACTAACATCCCTCTCCAGGCAACTCGCACAAAGCCGTACACGAGATAGACCACCCCTTATACACCTACAGGAGATATGACTTTGATAAACTATTAACCAGTGTCTTGGTAATACTTAATCAGTTCTTCAGCACAACCGAACTTGAAACTGCTTCTGTCGAATTTCCTGCTTCATTAAACAACCTCCTTGGAAGCGTTCAATGGCTTTCTTAGGATTGGTTCCTCTCGCTCCTGGCCTACCGTCCTGACAGGCATTACCGTCGCAGCGGGTGCCACATACCGATGGGCTTCCTGAGAGCGGACATCATCTGGTTCCAGTGGGAGAGGGCCTTCCCAGTAGCCTGTGTTCCGACAATCACGTGACCCACCGACCTGGCCTGCCCTCCTTCACTGTTGTATTCGGCCACCGTCACCCGCAGCTGGATATTCTGGAGAAAGGCAGAAGGGACATAATGCATTTTAATATATTTAACATTTTTATCTTGTCTCATATTTTGCATGTTTAAGAATGTAAGTCATTATTATTTAAACACGGTTTATGGACTGTATCCAATGCTGTGAGCTTTGCCGCCAGTGACCACTGGTGACAACATCTAGACCTGATAAAATATTTAGTTTGCTTTAGCTTAATTGATCTGCATGTCTTTAGCTAAAATTCATAGGAAGGCTCATTTGATACTCACTTTACCCCTCAGTGTCTCACTTCATTCATGTCTGTCTGTCTATCTGAATCTCTGTCTTGCTTACTTTTGGGCTGGCTCTATCTTCCTCCTTCAGCCAACTCTCAATTCCTTCACCACATCGGCTCACCTGCCACACTCTGGCTTTCTTCCCATTCGAGGTGGCTCTCCCTCTCGGAAGTATAAAGTACGCTTACCAGCAATCAGTTTGTTACGGGCTCATAAAAGCCCGTGCTACATGGAAATTTTGTTCAAAGTAGCTGAATCTAAAACAACAACAATCAATTTGGGTTATTCTCAGTGATTACTCATAGGCGTACTTTTTTCCCCTGTGACCGTAAGAAACTATTATTTGTAGATTATTTTTAGTAGTGGCCATTTTTAGTTACCTCGTTGACGCGATTGTTTGTAGTCGTGGTTAGTTTTAGTTACCTCGTTGACGCAATGGTTTAAAGTCCAGGTCATTTTTAGTTATCTCGTTGATGTGATTGTAGCCGGGGTCATTCTTAGTTACCACGTTGACGCATTTGTTTGTATTTGTGGACATTTTTAGTTACCATGTTGACGCGACTGTTTATAGTCATTGTGCGGTAAATCTCTCAGCAGGAATTTATTTGTTTATTAATTTATTGTTTTTTCTAATTTACTGTTGATTTAAAGCGGACTGTATATTTAGAATTATCCTGCATTTGTTACAAATTTATTAGTCTACTATCTAATAGATAGTTATTTACAAACAAGCACAGTTTAGCTGTTATATATAGAATTTTGCTTATTTCATAAGCCCTGCACATGTCCAGATCAAATAAGCCTCATCGTCTTGTCGTCGACCAATATTGGCATCAGAGCATGCTTCGTGCAGACCAATGTCTTAATGTTTGTTGTCAATGTTTTAAGGCATCGCAGCTTACCTGCCGGATTAATACTCCATAAAAGATGCAATAAAACTATAAAAGCTATAACATGACATTAAATATTATAATATAAATGTGAGACGCTGACCCCTTTAGGTATTGCTCATGGCTTAATTCCTCCTCTCTCATCTTGGTTTCTCATCCTTCCCTGCCTTCACTTTCCTCTCCTCCCATCTTGGCTTGCCCCTCCCTCATCCAGGCTTCCTCCCCCTCCTACGAGACTCACGTGAAGTGCGGGGGCCGGAACGCTGAAGATCATAGCCTCGTTGAACACCGGTGAACGGGTGTCCTTCTTGATACTCGTCTTCTTCTTCATCACCTTCTTACCGTTCTGCAGCACATACACCTGTGGAGAGTGGTTTGGTCGTTAGGCCTATTGTGGTCTGGTTTGGTTGTTAGGCCAAATGTAGGGCCTATTGTTTGGTCGTTATAACTGTTGTTGGTGGTTTGGTCATCAGCCTGTTGTAAAGTGGTTTGGTCGTTAGACCATTAGTAGGTAGAGTGGTTTGGACGTTAGGCCTAGTGCAGGGTAGTTTGGTGTGTTGGGGGGATGGTAAGGCAATGTAAAGGGGTTTAGTTGTCAACATTTTAACTTCTTGTATGGCAGTTTAGTCACTAAAGAGTGGTTTGGCTCCTTTTCTAGGGTAGTTTGATTGTTAGTATGATAGATTGGTTGTTATCAGAGTGGTTTGGTAGTTAATGGGGGGGGGGGGGTCATCAGGAAGGCAAATGGGTCATTTGACATTTGATGTCAAATTAAATCCTTAGAGATTGATATTGTCCTTGTCTTAGCTAGCTTGTAATTGTTTCAGGACAAACTATACAATGATAGACATAACATTATAGGCGTGGGATTGCTGGATTATTTCTAATATAGGTTAGATTCAGAGGTATATATATATATATATATATATATATATATATATATATATATATATATATATATATATATATATATATATATATGACTGAAAACTCTCACCCCCAGAAGTGACTCGAACCGGGTGCATGGGGTGTGAGTTTTCAGTCGCATATAGTCCTGGGGACCATTCAGGCTTGTTTGCATATATATATATATATATATATATATATATATATATGCGAACAAGCCTGAATGGTCTCCAGGACAATATGCAACTGGGGGATATATATATATATATATATATATATATATATATATATATATATATATATATATATATATATAATATATATATATATATATATATATATATATATATATATATATATATATATATATGGAGAGAGAGAGAGAGAGAGAGAGAGAGAGAGAGAGGTGAAAACATGGGGGGATACATAAGAACATAAGAATAGAGGTAACTGCGGAAGGTCTATTGGCCCATACGAGGCAGCTGCTATCTACATACAAAGATTAATCAAGTGTAATTGGCCTGTTATGTTGAACGGTGTCTTCTGTGTTGGTATCGTTATGTTCTGGTCTTGTCCTTACTCTCATGGTGGGTAGAGTAAATAGTTCCGTGATTTGGGTGTTCATGGTAGGTTGTTCTATTCTTATGTGAATTGCTTCAAGAATTTGTAATGAATAAGAAATAGGGAAATGGGTCAAGGGGACAATTATGATCTTCAGCCACATTTCTGTAATACATCGTCTGCATTGGCAAACACAGAGAGAGATAAAGACGAACTCCTAGATAGATATTTAAAATCCATTCAAGAAATTATAACGAAGTAGTGAATATAATCCCCCCAAAATGGTTATATATTCATTAGAACTTTCACAAAGAACAACAAATTGATCCCCTAAAATTATCAGATAAATGTAGAGCGACAGAAGCTAGAAACTTGTAGGCAACAAATACAAGTTGAACGTACCTTAACGAAGGGGTCAGCTGTAGTCTTTTCTCCTGTCCAGTGGAGACTGCGTGCCTTCACCACCACCACGGTCAGCCTCTCAGCCGTAGGTAAGTACGATAGGGAGAACATTATCTCTCCATACCCAACACCCTTCTGCAGGTGTTAGAAAAGGAATTAGAAAGCATTTCAATGTTTTAACAAGAGTTTTAATTTATTAGACAAACACTGGATCGTGTTTGAATTAGTTAGAATGTATTATATGGTATTGATGTTGATATAACACGATACACCAGTGTTAAAAGGCGCGTGACTAGTGTTTGAACACTCTGTAAGAGCTTCATAGTGCCAAATGATGCAGTGAACGTGGTTAGATGTTATAATGGTGAGACGAGAAGAGCGTCGAGGAGCATCAGGAAACTAAGAGGCAATGTTTGTTGTGTTAAATTAAGTGTAGGTGGAATATAACAATGATTCTCAATATTACTTAGCGAAATACACTTATGATACACAATATTACTTAGAAAAATACACTTATGATACACAATATTACTTAGCGATATAGGCGTCAACGCTTATATCCTCTAAGAACTAACCAGTTTTAATAAACCAACTCAATTGACTATTTTACATTACTTGATGACTGCAAAATTATGAACAGCGCGATAGACACTTCACAGTAGAAACTAATTAACGTATATTGAGGGACTGCTGCAGGTTTACATCTGGTATACTTCGGGTAAACTATGTCTGTCTTTCAACTGCATCATAGTGTCAGTTACCAATGAGAGAGAATTTAGGTGGAAACTCTAACAGACGCTGTCTCCTCCCCTCCAGTGACAGACAAATGATCCTGCTCCCCTCATGCTACAGACAAATCTGTCCCCCTCCCCTTTGGCGACAGTTAAGTGCCCCCTCCACTCTCGCGACAGACAGGTGCCCCTTCCCCATTACTGACAATTGCCCTTCCCCATTACCTGCCCCTCCTTTCTTGCCACAAACACATCTCTCCTCTCCTCTAGCGATAGACATGTGTCGTCTCTCTTCTTGCGTCACACCATTTGGTCACCACTTGGTCCGGGAGACATCTCCCGTCACGCAGGGTGCAGTTGCGCCTCCACAGATCTCCAGTATCATCTTTTGATACTGGTAATGGCTCAAAAGGGCCACCACTTACGGGCTATTCATGCCCGTGCCACCTCTTGGGTGGCTTAATCTTCATCAATCAATCAATCTTGCGTCAGATATGCCTGGCAACACACACTCACCTGACCCATGTCTGTGAGAGGGAGGACGAGGGCGCAGGGGGTCGAGAGGTCGACGTCTGTGAGTCTAAGCTGAGCCTCGCCGATGAGCGTGTTGGTGAACTTGTCCGAGGCGTACATGTAGAATGCCAGGGCGCGGAGTGGAGGCTCCTCCTCCTCCAGAGCAAACAAGAACCTCTCTCGGTACGTGGGATTGTTGGTTCTCCTGCACACCTGTAGCAGAGGCAAGGGACACTACAGTGTTGGTCTTTAGAAATTACTTACCTGTGTATGACTGAATGATCAAGCTCTACATCTTGGACCCCGCCTTTCCAGCCGCTGGGCGTCTAATGACTCCTGATCTACCATTTTATCACATATACTTCTGAAAATTACTTAAATTGGTTTACAAAACCTGTTCGTCAAATTCATTTAATGTTCACACTACTTTTACACAAAAAAAATTCTAACATTATGTCTCATCGGTGTCTAAAGGTTCACCGGTACCCTCTTGTACAACTGGTGTTCAATGGTAACATTTCCTCTCTTCTCAAAAGAGGAAGAAGGTGACATATTGAACATACTGAACAAAGAGGTTAATACTGGAAGAAGTTGTTCCTTTCTGGAAAACCTCCGACTCTGGTAATGACACAGAAACGAGACAAAAGATCTGGAACAAAATGGAAAATTCGCGAGAAGCACAGAAGTCATGCAAAATTATGCAAATGCAAGTAAATATAATGAACAGGTAAATCATGTTAACGCGAAGCATCAATGAGAAAATCCGTAGTAGCCGTGATGAGGATTCGAACATATGCTCTGGGTACTCCCAAGCAAATGCTTCAGACAACTAGGCCACGACATGGTCGAAGGTAATCCTCATCACGGCTCCTACGCATTTGCTCACTGATACATCACGTTAATGTGATTTCTGTGTGTATTGAAAGAGGAAGCGATAGAGGTTCAGTTCAAACTAGAACTGGTCCAGTTCTTTAAGTCTTTCTTCGTACCTCATCTCTCGTAGTTCTGGGACGATCCTCGTTGCAAAGTTCATTCGCTTATCAAGTTTCTTTGTGTGCTTCTAGAGAGGGGTATCCACGTTGGGATTGCATACTCTAAGATTGGTCTCACGTAGGTGGTCTACAGTGAAAAAATGCTATTGGGACGGTGGGTGTAGAGAGCGGGGGGAAGGTGGGTGTAGAGAGCGGGGGGTGGGGGGGAAGGTGGGTCTTCATAGAGGTAAACACGAACACTCGGTCTGAGTTTAGACATATCAAGCTAAATAAGAGTGTGTATATATCAACAGATGTCTAATAATACACACAAGTAGTGTGCATCCATTATAACCAGGCAGTCAGCGCATCATGAACCAGGGCTGTGTACACCAAACATGCTAAAATTAAATATTGCCAAATCACCTCTCATAACCAAACAACCTAACCTAACCTACGCAGCAACATGGACCAAAATGTCCATGTTGGGAGCCAGTCGGCCGAGCGGACAGCACACTGGACTTGTGATCCTGTGGTCCCGGGTTCGATCCCGGGCGCCGGCGAGAAACAATGGGCAGAGTTTCTTTCATCCTATGCCCCTGTTACCTAGCAGTAAAATAGGTACCTGGGTGTTAGTCAGCTGTCACGGGCTGCTTCCTGGGGGTGGAGGCCTGGTCGAGGACCGGGCCGCGGGGACACTAAAGCCCCGAAATCATCTCAAGATAACCGCAAGAAAATGCAATATTAACTTTGCTGGTTAAGTTTTATTGAAAACATAATCAAGTATTTTGGATGCACAGTTCTCAGCCTGCTGAATGATGTCTTCACCGTAAGGACGGACATGTTTGTCCTTGCACAATACAACGCAACAAAACTAACGACTCGCAATAAAAGCCACAAGCCCACAATCACCGCACTTCTTGCGTTACTGAACTATCACTCTTTAATATTATGTTACGACATAAATGATAATCTGATAATTCAAACAGGAATTCAAAATCGGTTCATCTTTCCATCTCGAAAAATTCTTTAATAAATATATATAAATTCATATTAATTTTCCTCCTTTCCTTCCGTCGTGGCTCGTTATCGTGTTTTCTATATTGAATTATTTTGGTCTATTATCTTTACATAATACCCTTTTAGGCCCAGTTTTCAACACCACCAGCCTAAAACATCGAGCTAAGTGCAAAAATAAAATGCAAAAGTTAAAAAATATTACGTTTGGACATGTATGAATTAAACATTGTTGTTAGACTATAATGTTTGTTAATAAAATATTATTATTATTATTGTTATAATTATGAGGAGAGAGGCTGTAAGGGATATGATATTGAGTGACGGTCTCCGCTGGCGAAGCTGGCTAAATGACTTTAATTTAATGTTAAACTAAATTAATATTGAAACAACCTTGTTAGCGTTGAACCTACAGATTTTGTTGGCCGAATTGTTATACAATAAAGCAGCATGTTACTGGACGATGGGGCGGCGGTGAGAAATAGTGAACTACCCAGTGTTGGGTAAAAGGCAAGAGAGGGAAGTTAACTACATTTCCAGAGGAAAGATAAGTGAATAGAGGTGGTAAAGGTGGGAAGAGGATTAAATAGGGGTAAAGATGAGAGAGAGAACACACACACACACACACACACACACACACACACACACACACACACACACACACACACACACACACCACACACACACACACACACACACTAGGTCCAGTCCAAGATATGATGGACCTAGTCATACAGAAATGCCAGGAGGCCGAAGAGAGATTTATACCAACGGTAAAGGGAAAAAATAAGAAGGAATATAATAACCCATGGTTTAATAGACAGTGTCAGGAAGCAAAAATGGCCAGCAGGCGGGAGTGGAGGAAGTACAGAAGACAAAGAACAGAGGACAACAGAAGCAGATACAACAGAGCTAGGAACGATTACATTAACATAAGACGAACATCGGAAAGGGACTATGAGAACGATATTGCAATCAAAGCGAAAAAACAACCTAAGTTACTACACAGTCATATAAGAAGAAAAATGTCGGTGAACGACCAAGTGACAAGACTAAGGAAGACAGAGGGGGCATATACTGAAAGTGACAAGGAAATCTGCGAGGCACTGAATGCCAGTTTCCATGGAGTGTTCACTACCGAGCCTGAGCAGCTCCCATTGTTGGAAGGGGTTACCCTAGATGAAAGACTATCAGATATAGAGGTGACAGCAGAGGAGGTAATGAAACAGTTGACAACTCTAGATGCAACTAAAGCAGTTGGACCAGACAAAGTATCACCGTGGATACTAAAAGAAGCAGCACAGGCCCTCAGCGTGCCTCTGGCAATGATCTTTAATGAGTCACTTATGTCAGGAGAATTGCCCAGTTGCTGGAAGAAGGCAAATGTCGTGCCGATCTTCAAGAAAGGAGATAGGGAGGAGGCACTTAACTACAGACCTGTATCACTGACAAGCATCCCCTGTAAAATACTGGAAAGAATAATTAGGCTACGACTGGTTGCACACCTGGAGAACATTAGGTTTGTGAACAAACATCAACATGGGTTCTGGACAGGGAAATCGTGCCTAACAAACCTTCTGGAATTCTATGATAAAATAACGAGGATAAGACAGGACAGAGATGGTTGGGCAGACTGCATATTTCTGGACTGCCAAAAAGCCTTTGATACAGTACCGCACATGAGACTGCTGTTCAAGCTCGAGAGGCAGGCGGGGGTGGGGGGAAAGGTCCTAGAATGGATAAGGAACTACCTAACAGGAAGGAGCCAAAGAGTTACGGTAAGGGGCGAAAAGTCGGACTGGCGAACAGTAACAAGTGGAGTACCACAAGGATCGGTGCTGGGACCAATTCTATTTCTTGTATATGTTAACGACATGTTTACAGGCGTAGAGTCCTACATGTCGATGTTTGCGGATGATGCAAAGTTGATGAGAAGAGTTGTGACAGATGAGGATTGCAGGATCCTCCAAGAGGACCTGAACAGATTGCAGAGATGGTCAGAGAAATGGCTACTAGAATTCAACACGAGCAAATGTAAAGTTATGGAAATGGGACTAGGAGATAGGAGACCAAAGGGACAGTACACAATGAAGGGGAACAGCCTACCTGTAACGACGCGTGAAAGAGACCTGGGGGTGGACGTAACACCTAATCTATCTCCTGAGGCACATATTAATAGGATAACGACAGCAGCGTACTCTACACTGGCAAAAGTTAGAACATCATTCAGAAACCTAAGTAAGGAGGCATTTAGGGCGCTTTACACTGCCTACGTAAGGCCAGTCTTAGAGTATGCCGCCTCATCATGGAGTCCCCATCTGAAGAAGCATATAATGAAACTGGAAAAGGTTCAGAGGTTTGCAACGAGACTCGTCCCAGAGCTACGAGGGATGGGGTATGAAGAGCGCCTGAGGGAACTGTGCCTTACGACACTAGAAAGAAGAAGGGAGAGGGGGGACATGATAGGAACGTATAAGATACTCAGAGGAATTGACAGAGTGGACATAGACGAAATGTTCACACGGAATAGTAACAGAACGAGAGGACATGGATGGAAGCTTGAAACTCAGATGAGTCACAGAGATGTAAGGAAGTTTTCTTTTAGCGTGAGAGTAGTGGGGAAATGGAATGCACTTCAGGAACAGGTTGTGGAAGCAAATACTATTCATAATTTTAAAACCAGGTATGATAGGGAAATGGGACAGGAGTCATTGCTGTAAACAACCGATGCTCGAAAGGCGGGATCCAAGAGTCAATGCTCGATCCTGCAAGCACATATAGGTGAGTACATATAGGTGAGTACACACACACACCGGGGCGCCTCGTAGCCTGGTGGATAGCGCGCAGGACTCGTAATTCTGTGGCGCGGGTTCGATTCCCGCACGAGGCAGAAACAAATGGGCAAAGTTTCTTTCACCCTAAGTGCCCCTGTTACCTAGCAGTAAATAGGTACCTGGGAGTTAGTCAGCTGTCACGGGCTGCTTCCTGGGGGGTGTGTGTGGTGTGAAAAAAAAAAAGTAGTTAGTAAACAGTTGATTGACAGTTGAGAGGCGGGCCGAAAGAGCAAAGCTCAACCCCCGCAAAAACACAACTAGTAAACACACTCAATAGTTTAGGTAAGTCACCCATTTACGTTTTCTTTAGCAGTTGGAATCAATAGCCCTTAGTGCCCCTGGGGGCCAGGGTCCCTCCCACCTCAACAGAATGCTTGATGTGAACACTACT